GTGAATTTATAGCGTCCTAGCTGCCTCATGTTAATTCCTCCAGTATTTGCCCATGTGGATGATATTTTGCTCCACTTTGAAAGTGAATCAGGCTCCCTTTCATAGATTTCCAGAAGGAAAACTGGTGCAAAGTAGCTAGTACTCTGTAAATTCAGGCACTTTCACACTGCACACTAAATTCCTCTCATAGACAGGTCCTCCTATTCAGTAGAATGATTTCAGATTTAAATCAGCCTAAGTGAGGCTGCAGTCATCCAACCGAACTGACAGTGTTATATGAATGTAGCCAATACAAGTAAAGAAAAGCTAAGTAAAAATCAAGACTTAACCTCAGCATCTCCATTAGAGCATGGGTCTAGCTGGAGTTTTGTCTACCCAGATTACAAGGTTTCCCAACATACTACTGAGGCTCATTCACACCTCTGTCCACAGGCTTTTTGCCTTTAGTGTCAATTTGGGTGATATCATTATTGTGTGCTTTCATAGATGGATAAAACTGTGAGAAAAGGAACCAAAACTGAATTCTCAGTCATTTTCTATACTTTCTCTTACTGAAAAAGTTACTTCAATACCAGAACTTCACCTTCTCATGATAAGAGCAAAAACCCCAAACCTCACATGTGATTTTAACGTAAAATTTAACATATCGCTTCATCCTTAAACTGAAGAAAAGCAGTCAACAGCCTTCATTTTAGGGAAGCAGTTAAGCTAAGTGAATAGAGAATTAGTTGGTGACTCTGGTGACTAGGAGGTCACACCACCTTCTTCCATGGGCTCTTGGGCTGTTTTCAATCATTTTGCCCTTCTGGGCTTCAGTCTCACCTTTTGCCAGACGGAGACACAGGCAACTGTAAGCCTAGGCTACCTCTACCCATTCAAAAGGGCTTCTAGCTTGAGCAAGTACTTCACATGCAAAAGGATGCATTTCTTATTTCAGATTTTAGAATGATACCAAAATGAAGTCTTACAACCCTTGCACATAAATGATGGTAAAAAATATGGTAAAGAGCTTTGCAGCATTAAGCAACAGGATGTTAACAATATTAAGGCTTCACAACTGCCTTCATGTTTTTTTCTCACATGCATTTGCAAAAGTTGATCCTGAAGGAGACTAATGTAACTTTTTATAACATTTTAGGCTACTCATAAAAGCACTGTATTTAAGCTAAGTACCACTTATTGTTTTTATTTCTGGTACTACTGTTTTTTAAAACTAAAAATAGGCCCACCTCAGCCCATCAAAAATTTAAAGTGCCTTCTCTGGTAACGATGACTCTCTTCATTTGCTCTGCTTACGAAAGCCAGAATTTTTGTCCTCTGTCCACCAAGACATACGGTAGGCAGATGATCTACAATGCAAAATCGTTGAAAAAGAGTGAGGGAAAAAAAAAAAAAGGAATTTGGAATGTCTCTGTTTGTTTTCACATTACCTTTCTCCTATTCCCCTAATATTTTCCTTTGCTCAGACTCTCTTTTCCTTGCAAAAATCCAGTCCTTCCTTGTACTTCTTGTTCCTAGCTTATAGCCATACAGCCAGGCAGTAGGGCACGGCAGGTGAATCATAATAGCAAATGTCAACAGGAAAAGTTCTCCAATAGCCCATTAGCTGTTCGAGTTCATGTTTATTATTTACTGAGTGACTGTGAATAATGAGAAAATTGGTATAAATCATTAGACGCTTGTGGCTAATTCTTTAGTAGAAAGGGAAAATCAGTTAAAATAATTGCATGATTTATTTGCAAGGAAAAATTTACCTCCTCATTAATGTTATTAGTACAGACAGTGCTAGCTAGAGGAATACAAGAGGTGCAAATCAGGTTTGCAAAAAAATGGAAACTCTGAAATGACAGGTAAGTGAAAGAAGTTCATTGAAGCATCAGAGAGTTAGACAATGCTGGAGATAGGTACTCCAATTTGTGCTTGTCAGTATTTAGAGGAGTAAATTATATTAGGTAAATCCCATTCTACCAAATGCAGCTAATTTTTGGACTGCCCTGCCTAATTTGTGTATGAGTTTAGGCTTAATCTTAAGGGCCACTGGATCCAGTCAGTAGAGCCACTGATGCAAAAAATGTGCAAGTCTGTGAATCATTTAGATGTGTCTTCCTAAAGGTAAGTTAGAACTTTGTAGCTATTGCACAAAATGGAAAGAGAATCAGAAGGTCTACAATCAAAAGAAAATCCCATTCCTAACATGCAGATTGTGTAGCAAACAGTAGAAGTAACCTCTCTGAAAATAAAATAACATATAGCTGTTTTTTTTGAACTAGTTTTGTAGAGCCCATGCAGTGAAGGATCTTCTAACAGTTCACTTAATCAAATTTCTTTTTGGGTTAGTTTCCAAGATGATGTGAGAACAGATTTTGTCCCAGAGTGTTTTTATGTTTTCTCGTTAGAAAAAATAAATGGTATCAGAAGTCAATGTTATCAGACATTGCTATTATCCAAAATCTTACACCTGTTAAAAAGTCATACTCTGTGTCATATTCAATTAGATCTAATTTTTGTATCATTGCAAAGTCAAAGGCCTTCCAAATTAATGTATGTGAATGATTTTAGGCAAGAGCCTATTAATGCTGAAGCATTTTTTTTTCTTTTTTGAAAAACATGTTATAACTAAAGCTCACGATGGAAGTAATTTGCGGTATTCGATGACCTCATTTTATACTGTTTTGCTCACTAGAAGCTAATGCATATGATGCCATGTGAAATTCTGAGACAAGCCTGTCTGCAGGACTTATGAGAGCCATAAATGGATTAAACCTCTCACTCCCTGCTTTGGCAAGTGATCAGTTACATTTAAATAAAGGTCAGTCTGTCTTTACAAAGAACAAGCTGAAAGCAAGCTTAGTAGCTTTCCCTTCTGAGGCTAGAACATAACTATTTGAAGCATAATTAACAACGAGGTGCCAGTCACTGATTGTGCTTCTTGCTTTATTTTATGTCTGGGGAGTTCCAGTATTTCCCATTAGTTTTAAGAGGGGCGACGGTGCTAGTTATCAAATTGACAGTCTTGACCTGGCCTCTGAAAGCAACTGTAAAATGTTGTTAGGGAAAATTAAGATAAATGTTAAATGCCATACTGAAAATGGGACTGTAATATTACTACAAATCGGACATTCCTGTTCCACGACTCCAGGTAACAATGCAGACATGACATCTGATATACATGAGAGCATGGACTTTGTTTTTCCAAATACCAGGTGATAAGCAAATACACCAGATGCTCTATTATCTCATCTTATGAAGACTGTATTTTGAATTCTGTATAAAATATCCATTCTTTTCAGTATTAGCAGAGTGACCTGCTCTTCCACCTGTTCAACATGGAGATAGGATAACCCTTGCAAGGTTGGCGTGAGTCAGATGTAGCTGTCCACTCTGTGAAACATACTAATTACAGAAGAGTTAATTTGTCAAGTGGATTAAATACCTATCTCGTGGATTAAATATGCTAGGTCATTTAAGAATGGACCGTGATATGTTCTGGTTCTTCAGAACACTTATTTTGTTCAGGGTGTGCTTGTAGCCCATGTGGCAGCAGTGATAGTCATCTGTGTGTGAAGAGGGTATAACCAATACAGCAATTTTGGAACAGCAGACAGCCTGAAATTTTAACAGATATGTGTGAATTACTTTGACCCTGCTCTGGAGTATCAACTTCAAAAGTCCAATGATTGCACGTCTTTGTCATCAGAAACAAATTCAGTCCTGATCATGTTATCAAGGAGTGGGGTAAAAGCAAAGCACAGAGGATTGGCCTTTGGGAGTATCTGGAGATAATGCAATGTAGAGAAAAGAGCAGACCAGAGAGGCAGAAGATGGGAAAACAGCACAAGAATAAAGGAGGAGAGAAATTAAAAGGCAACAAAGACAGTGAGATTGGATGGAAAAGATCTGGGTTTTTTTTCAGTGAAGATGATATGAAGTGAGAAGTGAGATACTTATGAGAAAGTATCAAAGTCTTACATTGTAGCCATGATAAAAAGACTCTTTCTTTCTTTTGGTCTCTGTGTAAAACCTCAATCTGCTTTTATCTTGGCCATTCTCATCTGATATTGGTTGATGACTATGTTTTCTGCTCAACCGTACTATGAGCTCAGGGAGTTCTGTATTCCCCAAATGTACCTTTGTTACCTGTCACAGAAGAAAAACCACTAGAGGAAGACAGCTGACCAGAGGTTAAGATAAAATCATGCATTTTCCTCATTCTTTGGGGGTTAGAGGGAGTCTTTAGGTCTACAGGTCTTTACGTCCTTTCATGAAAACTGTATCCACTCTAAGAATTAAATTAATTAATTACAACATTCAGGAAGTGGCAAGAAAAAAATGGTGCTACACTTGGTTTCACAAACCCTCAGAGGTTAAAGTAAGAAAACTAATGCCTTAAGCAGTTGCACATCAGCTCTATCATTCTACTACTCTTAAAATTCACTTGTGCTTTTTTTAATTTTTTTTTCCATTTCTAGGATTTCTTTTTCCTGACAGCAAATTTGGATAGAAGTGAAGAAGTCAGTGACTGATTTACTTGACAATTACTCACCTTACATGCAGGTTTCATTTTTTACAGTTTTTCTACAAAGAGACCAACTAATGCTCTACTTACAGCATAGGCACTTGAAGATCCTATTTCCTTATTCTCAGCACAGGTCAGATCCCATCATCATGAAAAACTAATGATGTCAAAGCATATTCCGTCACAGGCACTCTGAAATAATGAAATGAAACCTTCAATCAGAAAAAAAAAAAAAATCTTTAACTTATCACCCTATGTCAATGATGCAAAGCTCCCATCAAGTTCAGATAGCAAGATTTGCTAGTCAGTAGTGAATATGGTTCTGTGGCTTGTAAATACATAACAATTTCTCTCTTCTAGGTCATTTACCTAAAGGATTGATAATATCCAAATGTGTCTCTCTTGAGCCTTTAGCATGCCCACATTACGTTTTTCTTCATGTTTATCTGAGTACTTTAAACACTTGCTTTGTTCTCTATTGTAGGTCATGGGTTATATGGGACTTTTGAAATGTTGTCCTCGTGGAGAAAAACTAGAGAAGATCAACATGTAAAGGAGAGAACTGCAGCTGTATTTGCAGACTCCATGCTCTCGTTTTCTCTCACCACTGCCATGTACCTGGTCACTTTTGGAATAGGGGCCAGTCCCTTCACTAACATTGAAGCAGCCAGGATTTTCTGCTGCAATTCCTGTATTGCAATTTTCTTCAACTACCTCTATGTACTCTCCTTTTATGGTTCCAGCCTGGTGTTTACTGGCTACATAGAAAACAACTACCAGCATAGTATCTTCTGTAGAAAGGTACCAAAGCCAGAGGTATTGCAAGAGAAGCCTGCATGGTATAGGTTTCTTCTGACAGCCAAATTCAGTGAGGACACAGCAGATTCAGAGGAAACAAACACTTACGAAAGTCATCTTTTGGTGTGGTTCCTTAAACGCTACTATTGTGACTGGATAACAAACACTTATGTCAAGCCTTTTGTAGTTCTCTTTTACCTGGTTTATATTTCCTTTGCCTTAATGGGCTACCTGCAGGTCAGTGAAGGGTCAGACCTTAGTAACATCGTAGCAACTGCAACACGAACCATTGAGTATACTACTGCCCAGCAGAAGTATTTCAGTAACTACAGCCCGGTCATTGGGTTTTATATCTATGAGTCAATAGAGTACTGGAACACCAGTGTTCAAGAGGATGTGCTAGAGTATACCAAGGGGTTTGTGAGGATATCTTGGTTTGAAAGCTACTTAAATTATCTTAGGAAACTCAACATATCTACTGGATTGCCCAAGAAAAATTTCACTGATATGTTGAGGAACTCTTTCCTGAAAGCCCCTCAGTTTGCCCATTTTACAGAGGATATCATCTTCTCAAAAAAATACAACAACGAAGTCGATGTAGTGGCCTCCAGGATGTTCTTGGTGGCCAAGACAATGGAAACCAAGAGGGAAGAACTTTATGATCTCCTGGAAACCCTGAGGAAGCTCTCTCTCACCTCCAAGGTGAAATTCATCGTTTTCAATCCATCGTTTGTGTACATGGATCGTTACGCCTCTTCAGTGGGAGCCCCCTTACAAAACTCCTGCATCAGTGCTTTATTTCTGCTCTTCTTCTCTGCATTCCTGGTGGCAGACTCTCTGATCAATGTGTGGCTCACTCTAACTGTTGCCTCAGTTGAGTTTGGAGTTATAGGTTTTATGACCTTGTGGAAAGTGGAACTAGATTGTATTTCTGTGTTGTGCTTAATTTACGGAATTAATTATACAATTGACAACTGTGCTCCACTGTTATCAACCTTTGTCCTGGGCAAAGAGTTCACAAGAACTAAATGGGTGAAAAATGCCCTGGAAGTGCATGGGGTAGCTATTTTGCAGAGCTACCTCTGCTATATAGTTGGTCTGATTCCTCTTGCAGCTGTGCCTTCAAATCTGACCCGTACACTGTTCAGGTGCTTGTTTTTAATAGCATTAGTCACCTTCTTTCACTGCTTTGCCATTTTACCTGTGATACTGACTTTCCTGCCACCATCCAAGAAGAAGAGGAAAGAGAAGAAGAATCCTGAAAACCGTGAGGAAATAGAGTGTGTTGAAATGGTGGATATGGATAGCACCCGAGTGGTTGACCAAATTACAACAGTCTAACTTGTTTGTTTGTTGTTTTTTACACTAGCTCTTACTGAGAGAAAAAGAATCCAGTGTTGGCTAAACATTTGGGGAGGGGAAGAGTTCTGTTGGGGAGGGGTTTCACCCTCTAAGCTATATCCAGGAATACGCAAAATGATGGGAGGAATGAAGAAAAAAAGCGGGGGAGGGAGGGAGGATTGTTCCTTGAGTGGCTCCCTTAACAGGTATTATGAGAGAACTTGCACACATGTGCAAAGAGAGGGTGAAAGTTTTGGCCACGTGAAGTAAGATGTAATGAGCAAAGCTGGGTTCCCGAGCAGCGTTCCGGTTATCTGTGCTGCAGGTACTGCAACTGTTGTTGCTAAACCCAGTCAGATGGAAAGGTCAACTGTCAAGGCTGGAAGAGCAGTAGGTGTTCACAGGATGTAAAGTCTTTACAAACTTTCTGCACAGCAATAACTCAAGTCCGTGAGTCAGCTCTTATAGGTCTTAACCATCACATCTAATTTTTTCTTTTCTCCCCTAATCTAAACATTTATGCAAACTCTAAAACAGATAGCAAGCTGTACTGAGAAAGAAGGCAGGATGCAGCAACCAAACATTTTCAGAACACATTTATGTTATAGATCACCTTATTTTTCCTAAAAATGCCATTATTTTAAAAATGTAACTCATTCCCTGGAACATTTTTAATCATGGTTTTATAGCTGTTTCTTTTTCTTATAAAAACAAAAAGAACAAAAAAAAAACTCCAGTGACACGGTCACTATAGAAAGTATATTAATTCTATTTTATAAATGTCTTGCTACTAGTTAAACAAGTAATCTGCTTTACCAACAATAATTTTGTTAGCACTCTACTAGCACGTGCCAGTGGATCTAGCAGCAGACAGAAGATGGTGTACTGAATATTTCAGCGCCAAAACCCATGACGCAAGCCTCAAATACATAAGTGTCATGAAGGGAGTGAATGTTAGGGCTCTTTAATAAGAGTCTGTTTCAGGCCATTCACTAGTAATGCACGCTAAGAGGATTAGTGGGTAGTGTTACGTAATGTATAACTTAATCCCTCAATCATCCTGTAAAGCAATAGACCTTACAACTATGGGCTCTTCCAAGAGATAGTAGACCATGAGTGTCATATGTAACAAACCGAAGGTAGGGATTGCAATTTAACAAGTTTAACTATGTGCCCAAAGAGCCTATATCAATGGGATCTATTGAAAACATCACATGGACCTTTTTGGAGCTGTGAGTTCAAAATCACTAATTCTGCCAGCATCTGTGATGTGGAATAATGCAGATGAGGAAGCATCTCTTTTCTCCTTCATCCCCTCCCTTTCGAAGAACCACCGACTCATTCTGGGAAGGTTTCATTAGGAGGCAGATCCCCAGTGGGGATATATAAGCCAACTGTACTGTTTTTGCTGAGAGTATTCCAACCATAAGTCGCCTGCTAACTCCCAGCTGTGGGAAGCTAGCTGGTGTGCCAGGTGTACTAATGAACACATGAGTATTTCAACCAAACCCTCCTACCTCTTATCCAGAAAGTAGGAGTTCTTGTAAAGTTTTCAGCGCCTCAATCACAGTATAAGGGGGTCAAATGGACATCACGGGGGCCATGTGGCTTGGCCCAATGAGGGTGCTTTGGCTCAGAAGGCTGCCTGGGTTACAATGGTGTGACTGCAACAAACCCAGACTATGCTGCATCCCCTGAAACTCACCTTTGGTATCGAATCAGTGACCCTGTGGTACACTGTGTAAAACTCTCAGATGTCACCTTGTGCATGTCAACTTTCAAGGAAAGGATACTACCAAAGCTCCGTCCCTAGCAGAAGATAAGGTAGCCGGGTATTTTGCCCTGATGCAAAATGTAACATACCGACTAGCAAAACAAGTTTGCAGGGCAGCTGCCAGCATTTCCCCTGGATAGCACTCTTCCCTGACCAGAAGGTCCTTTGTCCACGAACACACAGGCTCTTTGCTTGAACAGTATCAGATGCAGTAGCAGCTGGAGAGCTGTAACAGCTTCAGCCTTGGCAGCAATCAGTTGGACATACTCAAGACAGGAAAATGAACGTGAGCTGAGGGGAAAGGGCTGTTTCCCCTATTTTCTTTTGATTCAGGCTTGGGGCTACTTTTTCCAGCCAGAAATGTTCTCCAAACATGTATTGCCTTGCACATTTTCTTGGATGGTCACTATGACCTCTACGTAACAACCCTCAATGTCCCAGTAGTTTGACAGGCAGCTGCAGTACTTTCTAAACTTCTGAGGCCATTAACAAATCTGCTGAGTACTTCAAAGAAATAGCAAATTGCCTTTGACAGTAGCAGTCTACTGAGTTGTGGGAAACCTGGAATTGGGAGATTTGGGATTGGGTTTGTACACTGCAGAGAGGAATATCTGCCAAACACCTCTGCTATCCCTGATGCCCTCATCTACAAATACCCGGTGCAGAGATAGGTATGAAAAACCTCCTAACAACTGAGATGCATATAGGAGCATCTTTAAAAAGATGCCCAAAGATGAGCTTGTAGTTTCATGGATCTTTTATTAAATCTCAGCATGTGAGGCCTTCTGAGCTTCCCTAGAAAGGTGATAAAACCAGTGACAAAATTTCTCAGCTATCTCCAGACCTGTTGGAAAACAGATGGAGAGGTGTTTCTAAGACAAAGTGCCACAGTACATGCTTGGGCTTCCACAGAAATCAGTTAGGAGGCATCTAGTCTATCCCCTCACACCAGAGCAAGCCAGCTGTACATAAATCTCTGCTGAATGATATATGTCTCACCCATTCTTAGAAATAATTATAAAAGTGGATTCCTGAACCTTCCCTGGCAGTTTATTCCTGGAACTTATTCCTTCCTAGTAGTTGCTGCTGCTTCCCAGGACTGGCAGGGGAGCAGAGTCTGTGCCCATGTCCATGCAGGGAAGATCAGGGCAGAGAAGCACCTCTTTCTAAAGCCTATCAGCTCCCAGAGAAAAAATAAATAAGTAAATACATACATACATACATACATAAATGAAAAGAAAAAAGAAAAAACTCAGAAGCAGACACAAATTATGTTCTTTTCTCATGACATTTCACCTCATGCTCTTACTCCATTCCCCACTTTCAGGCTTCCTGAGGTAAAACCATGAAAATGCCTACACTGTACTTAAGTCAGCTCCATAAGATTTCTGCTTGAATCACAATGTATCTGATGTACACCAAATATTTCTTCTATACAGGTAGCTTGAATACTTCAACATGCACCAGAAACAGGATGTTCTCTAGACTATGCCAACCCACTTTGGCCTTCCTCCCCTTTGGCTCTTTACTCTGGAGCCAAATTCTTTTCTCTGGAATTATTTTCACCAAAGTCAGTTGCATCGATAGATTAAGAGATGCAAATATCATGTTTTGTTCTTGGTCCAAAGCACTCTGAATGCCTAACTGTGCATAACAGTCTACCCTTAGTGGTAAACCTCCTTTCTAGAAGATTACTGACATTTGTGCAATTTCTGTCACACTCCTAGGCAGCTTTTTAGCCTCAGCGAGTAACGCTGTGTTATACCCTGGCTAAAATTTAACAGCAAAAGGTTACTAAGGTTAACAAGAATGTGCAGGACTGTGGCTCTCTGACCACATAGATCAGCTACAAACATGAAGAGTTTCATACAGTAAGGTAGGGTGTATAGTGTATATTTACCATGCAGTAAACATAGAGGAAAAGACCCAACTTAAATGCATACAACAATTAAACTCAGTCCCATCTTTCTTGTCATATTCCTTATTTTGGCTTAGCACAGGTTCATTTTCAAATAATAAATACTCTAACTGGAGGGAAAAAAAAAAGAGAGAGAAAAGCTGGTGTAGCTGGAATAATTTCACTGTAAGAATTAATTAATGAAGCCAGAATTTTCTGCCCAAATCTTTAAGTGAGAATGTTCTAGTTATATGAAAATTAGAGCTGTGAAGGCTGAGACAAGCCCGTCTGGCAAAGAAAAGGACCTGTTTTTCCAAAGGCAAGCAAACATACTCATCATGGTCAACTGCGTGAACCTGGAGAGAACACAATACCACAGTGGCTTGAGATTACTTTGAAACATGTGAGGATTCGTATCTGCTTTCAGCAGCTTTCCGAGCCAGCACTGTTTTCAGGTAAAACATACACTGTAAATTGACAGGTGTATTTTTAAATGCTTGTCCAGGCTAAGTGTCATCCTATGAGCTGCCAAGTCCTACTTCAACCAACGGCTTGTTTAGTTTCATTAAAAGAAAAAAAAATTGAGTAGTGGCACTACTCAGTGGAGAGTCAGACATGGAGGTAATGACTTCCTTTAAACAGTGAGAAGGTAGGAAAGGCTTCTCTTTAGCTGGTGTCTTTGTAAGAGAAAAAGCTGACTATTTCAAAACTTAGCAAATTTAATAAGTGTCCTGTTCCTTAAGTCGGATAATAGATACTGAATTTCCGG